TTACTCTTACGTCAGTTTAGGTCAGTTTTCTCTTTTAGGTCTAAAATAAAGTGTGTGTTTGAAAAGTCCCCAAGAGTAGGTAATAATGTGCCGTAATGATGAATAAAGTATGTCTGTTTTAAGGTGTTCTTGTGTTTGTTTCCAGGAAATCTCAGCACCTGACATGACAACGCAGACCAGTGATGGTAGTGACCACTTTCAGGTAAGTGTACTGAATTTATAATGTTTATGATGTCATAGGTTTGGGTTGTCGGGTCAAAGAATATTAGAAACCTGTTTAGATTTACAAATACAAGGTGAAAATTGTATCCTAATCTTAAAAATTAAAATAATAATAATGATGGTAACTTGTTGAAATCAGATCATTTAATCAGTCTTGCTTCACATTGGAACAGTTTTCTCTGTTAGATCAAAATGAGATGTTTACGTTAAAGGTTCTCAAATGCAAGTAAAAACTTTGCAATATTGATGAATAACTAAACTCTAATATTATGTGTTTCATTGCTTTTTCATAAATTTCAACGTAAATACTGTATGACCCTTCCCGTGTATTATTGTTCCCACTTTTTGTATGTTTAAAACTTTTTTATTTTATTTTTTAGATGCAATGGGTTTTAAATCTAAAGTTATTTTTGTGGTAACCTTTTTTTTTTCGGGCTCATCTATACATTGGCATCTACATCTCATACAAAAACAATTAAATTATTTTCCTCTGCTTCTATCAAAATGCCAAGGAAAGGAAACTATGAAGTACACAGAAGAGTTGAGAGTTGGCTGCCAATTTGCTGTGAGGCTGAAAAAGTAGAAGCGGTGCAAAGTTACTTTTGCTGTAATAGTTATTGCATAACTCAAAAATATTTCTAAAAATAAGTTAAACATTTTAAGGACTAAAATTAAGTATTTTTTGATTTAGTATTGATGGCTTTTTTCATTAATAACAGATGTAATTTTTTTAAAAACTTCTCTCAATATTCTTTAGCTTCCATTTGGATATTATCTACCACATAAATGTCAATTATCTAGTTGCACAATAGTCATATGTAAACATGTGAACAATTTGTTTGTACCAGCAGTTTAGAGCGGGGGAGACGCAGCCCGCACCGGCAGCTCAGAGCGGGGTGGGGAGAGACTAGCTACATTTGTACCTGCAGCTTAGAGCGGGTAGAGGGAGGGAGAGACAGCTGAGCTATCTGTACCTGCAGTTTAAAGCTGGATGGAGAGACAGCTGAGCCACATGTTGTTTGTTTTTAGCATTTCAGCTAGCTAGTATTGTGTGCAGCTAAGTAGCGTAACACCAATACTGACAGGTGGGAGGTGCGTAGTTCGGTTTGGTCGTTCAGCGTGCTCGGTTCTGTTAATGGGGTGGGGCGCTCTGACATATTAGTAGCTTAGAGCACCTATATTCATAGTCTGTGGTTACAGTACATAAACCGTTATCCCTGTTGCACCTTTTCCCACAACGCTTTTCCTTTTCACTTAACTTTCTATGAATATGCTTGGGTACAGTTCAATGATCTTTTGTGACTTTCCCTCTTATGGAGGGTGTCAATGACTGGCTTTTGGACATTTATCAAGTCAGTCTTCCCCATGATTGTGTAGCCTACTGACCAAACTGGAAAACCCTTTATAATCTCAGGAAGACTTTGCTGGTATTTGAGTTAATAAACTGATTGGGGGTGACACCACAAGTTTCCAGTATATAGCTTTTTAATTTTCTATTTTTTTGAGCTGCACCTGTTCATTATTTTGAATTTATTTTGATGTTAACATGCAGTGATTATACTGAAGTATTCTAAACTTAGTTGAAGTAAACGTGCACTCAATTGTATCATTGTGAAGTACTGGAGTTACAGTAATCTTTTGACTCACTGCTTCCTAAGAATACATTCTATGTAGGGGTGTAACGGTACGCTAAAATCACATTTCGGTTCGGTTCAGTTTCAAGGAGGGCTTGATTCGATTAATTGTCGGTGCAAAAATGGCCAAAATGAAAACTTAAATTATTTTGAAAATATGCCAAGTAAGCAATGCATAAAATACATAATGTATAAAAATAAATAAAAGCGACCCATTTGGATGATATTTTAAATAAACGGCACTCTACAATAATATATACTAACAATAAAAATCTTAATAAATACAATAACAATCAAAACCAGAACAATAAACAGCAACAGACTGTTTACAATCTTACTAGTCGAGTTTTAAATTTTTGGCCAAAAATAACAGCTTATCTAAATTTTCTGCCAAAATTTGCAGTGATGGTATCTCCAGCGGTGGCGAGAACCTGCTCACTAGCAACCGAGGTAGCAGGAATAGAGTGTGTCAGCTTCAAGGGAAGGGCACCCTGAAGCTCTGTACTCACAATCTCTTCTTGGACAAATTGACCTAATTTCTTAAAATGAATTGTTAAAATTGAATAGTTTTCATTTGATACTATTTCTATCATGTGATTCTTGACCTGCCATTATGTATCTGTTCCTCCTTCCTGTTCCTACCAAACCCAGCTGGTTAAAGCAGATGCTGCATGTCCCGAGCCTGGTTCTACTAAAGGTTTCTTCCTCATGAGGGAGTTTTACCTTACCACTGTCACCTTTGTGCTTGCTCAAGATGAGAGTTCTGCAATGGAGTTAAACTTAAATGGTCTGCTCCTCAGATAAATAGTGTTGAATTATTATTTTTATATATGAATGTTTCTGTTCAGTGCCCTGACATGACTTCTGCTGTGACTTGGTGCTATATAAACTGAATTGAATTGAAAAAAAAACAGGATAATTGAAAAACAAATATTATAAATATGCAGACATATTACATTTTGCAAGCATGCTGTCACCTCTCTGCCTCATGTGAGCTGCAATTGAATTCTTAGAGAAAAATTACAATAAACTGATACCAGACAGAAGCATCAATGATGATGATCATCTTCATCAACAATTTCTTTCTACCTATTGACTACAGTTCTAGTAATTTAGTAAAAATATTTGAATATTCAACTGTGAATCCATTTTGTCCAAACCCCTTCTAAATCTAATGTAGGGTGGGGGTTTTCTTAACATGAATACAATATTTTTATATACAGCTTTTGCAGTGTTCTGAAGTAATGTATGCCATCTATGTTTTAGATAAACACTGATTTTTTTTAAATAGTATGGTCTTTACATTTGTTCTTCACAGGCAACTGGGGGAATGCTAAACATAAGTGGGAAGACACAGAGGTTCGTGCGGTTGAAAAACACATGATGAATTTCGTCCACACATGCAAGGTACCTCAGAAAATACACTTCCTTCAGTGCATCAAGCAGAGCCAAATGTACTTGAGGACAGAAACTGGACTGGGTAAAAAATCGTCAGAAACCGGATCACTGCCTTGAAGAGACTGGCTTGTGCCAAAGAATTATTATAGTTTGTGATTTTCAGCCTAGTTTAGACATTTTGACATGTTGTATTAAATTTAATCAAGTAAGTAGATTTTTTTAATGATAGCACCTTTTCCTCCTCTTTCTTCTCTGCTGCTTTTCTTGATGTAATATTTGAGGTTTGAGCAGAAAAGGGATCATCTGAACATTTTTTGAAGTGATAATGTGTCAAAATAGTTTTCAATAGTTGGTATCTTATTTGCTGAAACATCAGTCATGGATCACAGAGTATGGAGAAAGACTTATGTCTTCATCTGGATTAGGCTACTGGGTAGCCAAATGAGTACCAGTTTTTCTTTTTTCTTTTTCAGACTTGCAAAACTACTTCCTCAAAAATAACACACAGATGTGAAAGAATTTGCATTAGTTAATTAAATTCAATGCACTTTTGCATGACAGTTTTTCAGTTTGTATGCTGAACATAAACTTTTATTTGCCTGTAATGATGAAGTGGCAAATGTATCAATCTGACTGATAAGTACGTTTAGTCAGTCCAAAAGTTTGCTCATTTTCTGGTAGAATAATACATTCAGCAGCCTTCGCATCAGTAGTATATGCATGGTCTATCTATGCTCTGCACACAAACATATGCATAGTAATATGGACATCAACTGAGAATAAAGTGACAAACTTTATTAACAAAAAATGGTGCCATCCAAAAGTTTAAGGGTTTAATATTAGGTAATGTAGCATTCTTTGACACAAGTGTGTTGTTTTTGAGAAAGTTGTTTTATAGAATAAAAAAACACCTTGTTTGTTAACCATTTGCCTAGCCTTGACAAAGACATCTATTTTCTACATACTTTGTGCTCTATGATGGATGTCACAGCTGACAAGGTACTAACTATTCATAACAATTTCACTGAAAATTACCTCAAAAGTTATTAGACTATCTTTTTATTTGTTGGTAAAGACACTTGCGTCAATGCAGAACCCTATGCACTTAAGGACTGAAACTAGACTGGTGTTAAAAAAATGTATCAAAAATTGAATGTGTGAATTGAATTGTATGCCAAATAATGATTGTAGTTTTTGTTTTGATGTAATACTTGAAATGAATATGTTGAATACAAAACACTTTTTAGCCAGTGAAAGTGTATTTTTGTTGCCCAAAGCCTGTCCTGATGACTCATGCTCTTTTCCAATGTTTATTTGAACTGCAGAGCATTTCAACAGTGTTCTGAAATTTAGTAAAAAGTTACTAAGCATTTTATTGTTGGAATTATTTTTCTTTTGCTTGTATTTCTTGGGCTGACATTAAGTCTCAAATTTCACATGATTTAATACTAAACAAATCTGAAATAAGACTATAAATTTGTTAAACATTTTGAAAAAATATTTTGATATATAAAACATAGTGATTTAACCAATCATCTGTAGCCTGAAGCAGGTCCATAAAATCCAATAGGCTGGTCACTAGTTAAAAAAATTAAACTACAAAAAATTAGGAAGAATTTATATATATAAAAAATGAAAATACATTTATTTATGATTTTTATTTATTGAAAAAAAATATTTCAAGAGGGTGATATAGAAGAATACTTTTTTGGGAAAACATCTTGTAAACATATTCAATAAATAAATATTCAATTAAAAAATCATATGCAAGTGCTGTGCTTGAGCAGAAGTAAAATGTAAAACATCAATGTCAGAGGCCCAACTATGTCAGTATGTTGTGTGAACTAAAACAGAGTTGATCACACATTAACAGAAGTGGCTCAGAATTGGTTCAAACAGTGGTCTTTGAGTTTGTGCAGATTATCTAACTTCAGACTGGATAACAGATCTATGAACCAAATTAAGGTAAAATAAAAACTACTTTTGGCACAAAGCTAAACAATAGAGTTCTTAAAGATAAAAGGAAATTTTAATCTTGATGATCTAGAGTACTTTCTGTATGTCTTCACATTTGCATTGCTGCTTGTACAGTATATTGTGCAACATTTCTTTTAGGGTTGTATTAGGCAAGGTTTCCCCAATTCAAAAGTCGAGAACAACTGGCCAGGTCAATATAAACTAATACAAGATTGCATATTTGTAGTACACTGTTTTGTTCATATTACATATGTTTTGAAATAGCTGTAGATAAAACAATGACTAGTCCCCAAAGGGATTTAAGGTACCCAAAGGTGACTTTAATCAGTTTGTGTATCTGTGTAAAACTGTATAAAACTTTCTTAGATGAAGAACTTTACTAATTGGCTTTTCTATGTATGTGAATGTTCCTGTAAATCATCCTGAGACAACTTTGTTGTGATTTGGTGCTATATAAATTAACTGAATTGAACTGAATTGAATTAAAGTCCCCAAAGGGATATAAGGTACCCAAAGGTGACTTTAATCAGTTTGTGTATCTGTGTAAAACTCAAGTCCCCAAAGTGGACTTAAAAATTCCCTGGTCCCCTATGTGAAGGCAAAAAATAATTTTATCAAAAAAGGATTTAAACAAAATTTTCAGGTGACATTTGTTTTCTGTAAATTTAGAGTAAAAAAAATCACATAGCAGTTTGTCCCTAACCCATTCAGAAAGGGGTGTCCCCTAAGGTAGGTAGTTAAAATATGCGCCCCCAATTTGGACATAAGCAAACCATGGTGTGTGTGTGTGTGTGTGTGTGTGTGTGTGTGTGTGTGTGTGCTGATATGCTGTGTTGGATTTTCTCCAAAAGTTCTGCTGTGCATGACACACTGTAGCACTATTATTATTATTATAATATGTGAACTATATGCATTAAATGCACTTTGGTCCTATTTGTCTGAAGGTCATTTGTTTCACAAGTCTTGTTCAGATGACATGTTGCAAACCTAAAAAACAAAAGGTCATTAAACATTCAAAGTAATAAAAAGAAACCTCTTACATTCTAAATATAGCAAAAACTTGTGGTTAGTGAAATAAAATGTTATGATCTGTTCTAAGACATGCTTTTCTTTTTAACATTAACAATTAAATACTGATTTTAACTTTTTATTTATTATTTTTTTTTTTTCTAAACAAGCCAGCACAGCTCCCTCATCTTGAAACTTTAGCGGAGGACTTCACACTTCAATTTGTTAATTTGGGACTCCTCGCTGTCTGAAGGGCCTTTGCTGCAGCTGCTGAAATTGTTTTTGCCCTGGGCATCTGGGCTCTTCCACTGTTTTTATGAGATTATCTGATACAATGTGATGGAATATGGTTTCCTTCCAGAGCAAACTAGTTTGATCAGAGCTCCAAATCTCTGATGACATATTGTTGGAGCAAAATGTGTATAATGAAAGGGTGGGGAGCGGTGGTGGTGGTGCCTTTGGTTAAAGCCACCGTTTTCCACATGTAGATTGTTTTTAGTGAAATCTATGCCTGTCCCACAATAAAGTGTTGTGTCAGAATGCTCAGTCAGCGGAATGCCTTTCTCACCTTTCCTGGGCAGCAGGAATGTTTCTTTTCACAGTCTGCTTTAGTAAACCCAGTTTGGGAAGCTTCTCTTTCTCTGCTGCAGATCTGATAACTGCCACGCTGGATAACATCTAGCTGCACCATCTCTAAGAACTCCTTCCCCAGGGTACGACTGCCAGTGCAGATCTCAGCATTAAAATAAAACTTTGATGGTCATTATTGAGATAAGCATCGTGCTCATCTGGCAAAAGAATAATATGATAGGATCAGAGCTTTGAACAACTGTCCTTTCTGTAGAGTCTCAGGAAGGAGAGCCAAGATGAAAAGACCCTCTTCTGGCCAATTGCTTTGCTTGTCAACAGGGTCAACGGTGAGAGTTTCACTCGCTTGTACTACTTGCTTAATGCTCTTTTCTTTCTGTCAGTCATCTTGGATAAAATACATAATTTTATCCCCCCCCACAAAATACCCAGAGATTGCAGACTGCTGAGGACTCGGGATATAGAAAAGATAAGTGTCTTTATTGAAAAGTGAGGACAGGAAAAATTGCTGAAAGGGAAGCAAGGTACAGGTGAGTATGGGCAGGGTTTGAGGATCAATGATTCATTAATGTTTTTTTGTCGTCAAAAAGTAGTTTTTTTTTTTTCTTCAGGCGGGGAGAGGGGAGATCCAGTGGTTCCAAGGCAAAATGACTGTTTGATCAAAAGGTGAGCGTTGGAGAGAGCAACAGAGTGACGGTGCTATGAAGCTGATCCAGGTTGATGTTTGGTTTGCAGAGGCAGAGATGGGAACTGCCGCTGTCACAGGAAACAGAGAGGACTTGGAGAACACGGAGGAGCAAGGCTTGAAAACACATGGAGCGAAAATACAGTCTTCCTCAAATAAAGAGAGTTTTACCGGCTGTCAGTTATTTACCATCAGGTAGCTTAATGTTCCAGCGTCGGTCAGGTGACCGTCAAGTCAAATACTGCAGGTAGTTCATTAGACCTGATCAGGTGCAGGTGTGGAAGGGTGGATGAAACCAAATGCTTTGCAGGCTGTGGGGAAAGTGATGAGAGTACGCAAACCTAGGAATCCTTCAAGATTAAGCTTCTAAGATGGGAAGCATCATATTAAATGTACTGTGAACTAACTTGCATGTGTCATACATACATTTTTGACAATAGCTTTGGGTTTTTCTAAGCTAGGGATATTTTTGTAGCCTTCTTATTTTTTTTTGTAGCTTTCTTATCTTTTCAATAAATTTTGATTAGATCCTAAAAACAAACCAACAAAAATCAGGTAACAAAAAGGTCAGATGGACAAGTAGTTATGAGGGTTCTTCTCCATGGGTTGCCTTCATCAGTGGAGAAATTAAAGCAGTACTTGGATGATTAACATTGACCTCTCAATGGAAGAACGTTTCTCTACAGAGGTTTCTTTAAACCTAGGTGTTTCAGAACTTTATTCTTTGTTTTATTTGTGGAATTGCATCTAGAATGTGCCAAACACATTCCTTACACAGTTTGGCACATGTTGACCTGATATTCAGTAATCAATTAGAT